CGGGCGGTGGGGAGGGAGAAGGAAATGGCGAGCTTCCCGGGTGGCTTCGGTGGGGTTTGGGGCGAAAAGGTGAGAGAAAGGTTGTGTTGCGAAAATAGGCATGCTGGCTCTGGTGAGAATGGATGCTGGTTCTGACCATGAGTTTGAGGTTTAAGTTTCTTTTATGGTTTGGTAAGTCTCTAAACAATAATATAAATAGATTGGAAGGGAGGTTAATAGGTATCGTCAGAGAGGTGATGGCCTCTGTCTTGTGTAAGTCTTGCAGAGATGGGGCGGATCTGACATTTGGATTGCAAGGTCTTCAGTGTGATTCTTTTCTGACTCCTCTACCGTGGAGGAATTTTACGTCTTCAGCATTAACCGCACCTCAGAATGTCCCTGGGTCTGTAGGTCTCCGTTGGATTGTGTAGCTGGTTTTAAACTCCACTTTATGATCTACCTGGCCTTTTGCCTTAGAGAAGGAAATTAGGTATGCAAGTGTGGCTGGTTGGTTTGTTTTTCCTGCAGCAAGGTAAATAGGCACTTCGCTGCAGATGGGTATACAGTGAATTAAGTGGTGTGTTTAACTACAAGAATAAGGTAAACAGACGAAAAAAAAAAAAGAACTGGAGGGAAATGCATTGTGTGAGTAGAATGCTGAAGAAGAACTTGAGAAAACAAATTAATAAGTAACCTGTACTGGTGTAGAGTTGGACATTGGATGCAATTAAAATATGAATTAAAAATTTAAACCTAGTTAAATCTACATATAGCTCTGTCTCTTAAGAATGTCACTTCTTTGATTGATGTCACCGATGAGTCCTTAAAACCTACTGAATTAACCTAGCTTCTGTGCCATTATGCCTCAACTGGCATCTCTTCCTGTTGCCAACGTTGTGTGTTGCTTCTTGCTTCCTCTTCCTCTGACAGGCACGTGTATGGCTCCAGACAGACTGCAGTATGCAGAGCTCAAGGAGAGTTTGAGCACAGCGGAGGGCTTTCCTATCGGAACCACGGTGTCATACGTCTGCCGGCCAGGCTATAAAAGGATCCCTGGAAAACCATTAACTCGTACATGTGGTGAAGACTTACAGTGGTCACCCACAGAGCCGTTCTGTACGGGTAATGTGTGCACGAGGTCTTTTGCTTTTTCCCTTTCCAATATTTAACAGTTTTAGTTGGTTTTTATGTGAGAATTAGTATTATGTAATATGTTAAACAAGGCTTGAAAAATGGTAATGATGGTATGAGCAGTACATGCCAAAGACTTAATCTTTGTATATAACTACAAAGATGTAGTGTGTTGTGTTTTGTGTTTTTTTCTTTTTCTTTCCCTTTCCCCCTAGAGAGAAAATGTAGGCATCCAGGAGAATTAGAACATGGTTTTATTAATGTGACAGATCTTACATTTGGCTCAAAAGCTACTTTTTCTTGTGAAAGAGGGTAAGTATTTTGGTGAAGTTAATGAATCCTTTTTCATTTTTTTCTGTTTAGACCAGATTTGAACCAAAACTGAGTTTTCTTATGCAGGTTCCATTCCAGTTCTGACTTGAAATGTCTCCTGAATTCTACCTGGAGCAAATGAAACTACAGCTAAATTTGATTTCATTCCCTGATTTTACTTGCTGTTTGCCTCAACCAAGGCTTAAGCTTTTTAGTGACATTCTGCAGAATGAAAACTGGTCTTACCTCTAATGACTTCTTTTAATGCTCCTGTGGCAGAGGGAATAAGTACATATATTCATTACCCTTCGTTATTATGTTGAATAATGGCCCATTTGCTGTGTATAGCAAAGTAAGTCAAAAGCACTAACCTCTTGCGAGGTTTTTTAGTATTAGTAACTTTAGGGCATTACTATTAGAGGGTACACAAAATGGTGTAGTGATGTCTCATTTGCTTCTCTTTTGTTTTCAAAGTTGAGACTGTTACTGAAAAATAAATAAATTAAAATACCATTCTCATTGAAAAAGAACTTGGTATGTTATGTTCCCATAATCACAGAACAGAATTATATAAATCAAGTTTCTAGATGCTTGTTGGAGAAATGAGATGTTTCTTAAGCTTCACCTCTTTAAAAATTTTTGCCAGATTCAGGTTACGTGGAATTGATGAAATTTCCTGTGTAATTAAGAATGAAGGTGTTGACTGGAATAGAGATCTTCCTTTCTGTGAAAGTAGGTAAATTACTACTGTGTTTAAGTCTATATTCAGATGGTGGTAGTTCATTTAAAAACAGCTGTGCCATAAACTTTCCAATATAAGAAACGATGGTAAAATAGGACTGATTTTTATTTTTATTTTATTGGAACTACTTGGGATGTACCTCAGGAATGACCACTGAAAAGTATCAGTTATTGTGGTAATTAGCTCCTGTTAGTTAAAGTCAACTTCTTGAAATTGTGACTCCCTGTAATGAGTGACCGTCAGTAACTCTCAGTTATAACCGTATCTTGTCTTAGAAATAGCTGTATGTCAGATTTTAAATGAAATTACTTGAAAATCAAGGCTCACTATTTCTGAGATGAACAAGATGACAGCAAAATTCTGTCGAGTAATTTGTGTGGTTTATTTCTAGGAATTCCTTGTGGACCACCTCCAAGCATAGCCAATGGGCGCTACACTGAAGCACCTGACTATGTTTATCAAACGCCGGTAACCTATAAGTGTAATGATGTACCAAAAGGCGCGGATCCCTTCTCACTGATTGGCCCAGCTACTATTTTCTGCACATATGATGCACACTCAAATGGAGTTTGGAGCGAACCACCTCCACAATGTCGAGGTTGTTGGGATTTTTAATATACTTCTTTATTATAGCCTATGTGATCCAAACCTTTGCTATCTGTCCCTTTTTTGGAAGGGGGAGGTAGGGGGGGAGGGCTTTCCTGTAGAAAAGAAGAAACAGATCCTCTGGTACTAAATTTGATATAGTTCCAGTGGAAGTCAGATCAACTACATTATGGATATTGATTGATTATGATGCAGAATATGACTAAAATTTAAGTTAAAACTTTAAAAATATATGTATGAGCATGCTTTTGGTAGAAGTGATAAGGACAAAGTGAAGGAACTGAGGGACCATAAAGCCTGGGTAGCTGAAGAAAAATTGTGTAAAGAGCAAGAATGTGGAACCTAGATTATGAACAGTAAAAAGGTAAGGAAGAACTCTTTTTCTAAACACAGCTACTATGCAAGTGCAGAAATAAATACAAAGCCCAGCAAGCCAAAGTCTTGCTTTGCAGATGTAGGGAGAAATACCAGATGCTTGCATGTTGTCATTTGAACGCTAATCAATACTGCTTCGGTTTCTGGAATTCTGTCACTGTACAGGAGTATGTCTTTTGGAAGTGGAACGTGACTATATCAATTATTAGTATTTCTTATTTGACTGTGTACCATTACAACTCAATAGTTTAAAACAAGGACCTACTCCGCCTTCAAGAGAATAACCTTTTTACAAAGCCCCTTCAAAACAATTTGAGGAATTAGATAAGGAAACTTACAAGTAGTAAAAGGATGCTGTGAAACAAATGTTTTGGAGCTATTTTTCTTTTGCCAATTTCAGTGGTCAAATGTGATAACCCAAAGGTTGAAAATGGAAGAAAAAAATCTGGATTTGGACCTTCCTATAGCTATAAGGACTCAGTCATGTTTGAGTGTGATCCAGGCTATTTCATGATTGGACCAGAGGTTATAACCTGTGGAGAAAATGACACCTGGTCTCCTCCAAAACCAACTTGTGAGAAAAGTAAGCCTTTAAATAAGAATCCAGCTTCTCTTGCATGTTAAGAATGTTGTAAGTCTGTCTTAGCTAAAACTTAAAATAACACTGTAGTTGGAAATCAGAAACTAAGGAAGTTGATGTGAAGCCTCAGCTATGGGCAACCATTTAAGATGTTCAAGTGACTCTTAACTCCAAAGAGTGTTCAGATGAGTGAGTTGAGTTACAGGCATGCGTGTAGAAGTTGTAGTGTGGACAAACTGTGATGCTATTTCATTGTAATAGCATCATGGTGTTTGTTCTAGTGATTTTGTGCGTAAGTACAGGAGAAAAGATGTGTTTCTGAATTCTGATGGAAAGAACTAGGAGTACGCACAATGAAGAAACCTATAGTGACCTTCTAGAGTAATCAAGACCATTACATGTCTGTGTTTTCTTATGCAGCTCTCCAACTCTTACTTTCCAGGCATCTTGTATGTTGTGCAGTATGTTGTTAGGTTTTGATCAGGCAAATTATTAAGTCAGGACTAATTTGCAGGGCTGGGGACATTGCAGAGGTCCTTCTATAACCTTTCTCCTTCCTCTTTGTGCTAGAGGCAGAAGGAATATTGTAGAGTACAGTGAGAGAATTTTTTACATGAGTACTCATTATAATGAGTTCCCAAGAATGAGAACCACTTCTGCAAAGAGTATGTTTGGGTGTTCCATAATGAATGAGTCTGATAAGGCACCTGGTAATGATTCTAGGGCTTACAAAAATAATAATGAAAAAATACGTATTTCTTGGCTACCACGTCATAAGATCACAGTACCTTAATGAGTCCCTACAGTGATGTTTCTTTTAAGTCTTCTAAAAGAACTATTTATACTTAAAATTGTGGTGAAATTAAACTCTTCAGGTATGCTGATCTATTTTTCTCATACAAAGGCAATCTATATTTGTGGAGTGAGTTAATGAATTACAAAATATTTAAAGTTTATTATCACTAAACTTACTCTTAAATTCATGTATTGGTTACTGAAGGTGTATGTGGTGCCCCGAAGATCACTCATGGAGTAGTGATTCCAGCGAAATCTGTATATGAAGGAGGAGAGTCTGTTCGGATAAAGTGCGATGCTTACTGTACTTTTCCTAATGGTGCTGAAGAGATGACAGTAACTTGTCAAGGACAGAATGCATGGAGTTCTTTACAAGACTGTGCATGTGAGTAAAACTCATAATTGGGAAAATCAAGGGCAGAGTGACAAGTTCCAAATGTCTGACATAGTAATGTGCAGACCCTAAAAGTCAGAAGTCCATCGGCAGGGCACCAACAGGTTATGTTAGTAGGGTTGTGAGCTTCATGGGGTGGAGTTTCAGCAACTGAGGAAAGTTTTCGGCAGAGTCAGAGTCCTTGTTCAGGCTTAGTTTTGTTTATGGAAATTGGTGAAGTTCAAAAGCCAGTGAAAGATCTGTTATGGGAGTGTTTTCTGAAGATTCTTCCTTTGATGATGGCAGACTTTATTCTCGCCTCACTTTGTACCATGTGATCACTTGTTATAATTTGTCGTTACTTTGATGCATCTGTGTGTCCTAATGAAGCTGAGATGTGTATTTCTGTTAGTGTGTCTGAAGCATGTCCATCAGAAGAAGTATCTGCAGCCTCTAGGAGGCAGGAAGCCTTTGCATTTAAAATGTCTTAAGGATTGGCTGAGCTTCTGATATTTACACAAACGTAGGGACTTTTTGATGGCAACTTCTTGAATCTGCTTCATGTACCAGCTCTGTTCTTCACTTTTATTTCCTTTTCTTCCCTCCCCTCTTCTCTTTCCAGGTGGGCCTAAAACTTCTGGTCTTGCTCCAAGCATAAATCATGGTAGAATAATTGATGGACAAAAACCGTCGTATTCTGTTGGGGATTTTATTACGATTGAATGTTATGCAGGCTACACATTACATGGTGAAGCTCGTATTGAGTATATTGGAGAAAACCAGTGGATTCCTGGAGTGCCAACTTGCCAGTTAAGTAAGTATGAACTGCAAGAATTTTCACTAGCATGAAAATACATGTATCAGAAGCTTTAATTCTTGGGGACATTCTTTTGTATTCAGGAGAAATTATTTAATGCAAACTTCCTTCTTTGTTTTGACATAAGAAAAATAGGTTTCGGTAAAATCCATTTAAAAATAAGAATATTCTTAAGTTAAATAAATATTATGATGTAAACTGGCCTGCTTCAAGGATTGTGTTGACAGAAGTGCTTGATCTACTTAAAGATATTCACAAAGTTATTTTATTATAATGCTCAAATAAGAAGCATGTGTTCCTCTTGTGACACTGATTTACTCTTTTTAGGTGCATATATTACAGCCATCATCTGTGGTAAGTATCTTATAAAACCTAAATAAGATACGATGTGGATTGTATTTTTTTATGTGAAATTGATGTTCTGGTCATCACCTGTGACTGCAGTAATTATAGAGTAATTTCATGTAAAATGTGTGTTTTTTCATGTATATAAGCCATCAGATTTCAAAGGCAGTGTTTAGTCCATCTTCTGTCCTTGCATTTGTTACCTGCTTTTGTAAGCCTACCACTTTTCTTACAAACTTGTTGCAAAAAGTAACGTTAGGATGTTGAAGTAGCTGTTCTAATGTTACTGAGCTGGTGGGGTTTTGCTGTCTTGATGATCACTGTTCTTGAGCTGAACTATCTCGAAGAACCTTGAGTAAAGCATCAAATGTATATTTGTGAAATAAGCCATGCAACTTTTAAGGTTGGTTTGGTTTTGGTTTTCTTGGGCGGGGCGGGGGAGTGTATAGACTGTGGATGGAGACAGTGTTATTTCTGCTAAAAATTTTTGAGGCTTTTTTGTGAGCTACAAATGATCTTTATCACTCTAAGGCTTTTTTTAATTCTTCCTAAAGTGATTGTGGCAATTGTGGTGTTCCTGGCAGCCTTCTGGGTCTATAAGAAATTCTTCTCACAAAATGGGTGAGTAAGCCTACCTTTTTGTTATAATTATTGCAAATTTCTAAATGACTGAGCAAAAGCAGTGCTAATATGTATGTAAGTTTCTTGAGCTTTATCTGCCCTTTCTTTTTCAAATGCCTGATGATTATATGTGAGCTTATCGCTACAGCTGATGGGAAACTAAAGTGCCTAACAATATATTTGACTTTGTTTTTGTATCTGCTATTCAGATAAGCTGCTAGTTAACACTTGTGCTAATTTTAAGTAAGAAAAAACCCTGTTCTTAAGCTTGTATTTAGCATAGGTATGCTTGCCGAGGAAAGCACTGTTTGCATCTTCTCTAAAACATGTCGGTTTACCTCTTAAAACCAGTGGTAGTATTGGCTTGTGTGGGCTTGTGTTATTTTATTGTTCAGATACCCTTTGGCATCACTAGGTCTCTCAGGCTTTAAGAGCCAGAGTGGTTTACGTGAGCTGTGAAAGCCTTGGAGGTGAACTAAGGAGGTTTCTCTCTTCCACATGAGATATACCAATAGTAGTGGAGGGTAACTGGAGAACCACTGTGTTTTGTGTTTTGGACCGGAAGCACCTTGAATAAAATAATATGGGCTTAGTTACAAGGAAAACTTGGCCTAAACCGGTGCTCCTGTGCTGTTTGAAAAAGCAAATGGTCAGTTTTGCTATTGGAATGTTTAATGAGTGGATCCACTTCAGTTTTTTTCTCCTACAGCAGCTACGATTGATGTCTCTATATTAAAGACTTGCAAAATCAACTGTAAAATACTAGATGCATAAGTAGTAGTATTCTTCTGTTTTTAATGACACATATATAGAGCCTTTTGAACTCGTCTTCAAAACAACTGATTTTTGTGTATGCTTTTTCATGGAGGAGTGGCAGAAGATTTAAGTGCCTCTGTGCATTGCTTCTTGCAGTGACATTTTATCTTCTTGAAAAAAGCCTGTTTTGTTGGAGAAATAGTTTGTAATGCAAATACTGAAAATTCAGAGCAAGTTGGGTGGTACACATAGAAAGTTATGATAAGCATCTTGTCAAAACTGACTTAACTTTTAGCAAGATCTGTTGGAATTTATCTAGGATACATGAAGCAAAGGAAGGGATGCTATAAATAAAGCAGAGGAAATATTCCTTGTTCGTATTTGTAATGAAGCGCACACAGTACTACCTGGGAGAACCCTGAAGCTAGCTTATATCCAGTGAGGTTTTAGCCTTAGTATCTTCCACATAGGCAGCACAGTATCATTGCAAGGTCCAGAGTGGCTGTATACCCTGTGCTGCTGAATATTTCAGTGCTTTTGAGCAATTGCTTTTCATCCATGATTTGGATAGTCTGCAATCTGGATGATCCAAATAAGAATAAATGGGAGTTAATAGTATTAGGGCAGCACTTTCTGCCTGCGTCTGTGGAGAGACTTATCAGGGTGTAGAAAGGAGGGATCTAAAGCAACATCATAAAAAAAATTAAACAATGTTATATTCCTGAAAATTATACAACATGAAAAGTCTTATTGTGCCAATTGCTTTCCTTAAGCTTCCTTGCTGTGTGACTGTTAAACCTCTTTCTTATCTGAAAACCTTGATCTAATTTCCTTTTATTGAGACCTAGATCTCCCTATTTGGTTTTCTGTGTTCCTGATGTAGCTGAGCTTTTGTGAACTGTTGTGCTTCCACTACTTCATACTTGCTGAGTTGTAGTCTTCAAATTACAGCAAAAATCTTTTCTTGCCCTCTCTTTCTTGTGTGTTTAATCTGCCAGTTTTATAGGACATTCAATTAGACCTTTTTCCCCTTCTGCTGTTCAGCTCGTATACAGTTGATGAGAGTTACAAGGAAACATGTATTTTAAAAACTAATGTACCAGCTGAGATGGAAGAAACTGCATAAATGAATTAATTGAATCTTAAAAAGGTATACACTTTCCACTTAATTTGGACTTTTGCAATGAAGCTTAAGTGTCTTTTTTTAGTATGGTTTACTCAGAATTTCAGAAGTGTGGAATCTAGCTAGCTGCGAACTTCAGTTTCCTATAGGAAAGACTATAATAACCATTCATTCATTTTGGGAGAATAGGATATATTGCATAAAGAATTACCATTTAGTGTCATAAATGATAGCTTCCAGTGATTGTGTATCACGTATCTTAGTTTTGGACTGTCTTTAAAGAATGAGTAACGTATTTTTCTGTAAGATAGAAACTACATACATACTCGGTAGAATGTTTGCACCTCTTTCAATAAGGTGAAGTGGATTCCAGTGCTGTGTTACTTTTGTTAGCTAATAGTTCCCTATAATTAGAAGACTGTTGGAGCTGGAAACCACCTTTGCTGAATTACACAGACAGTAGAATTATAAAAGTAGTGTGCATCCCTTCAGAGAAAACCGGATTATATATGTCTCAGAATTACTGATTCATCTGCATTTTCAGCTTTCTAGAAGAGAAATAAAATAAAATAAATAAACGAAGGTGCAAACACGGTCTTCTTTTTAAACCTTTTTATAAAAAGGTGCTTTCTTTATCAAATTAAGAGTTCTGTAGCCCTAAAAAGGATCAAAATATAGTTGTTTGTCTCCTGTATTTTGAACTAGTGCTTAGTCCAGTAGTCAGATGTGTTTGATGGTAGTTAGGATTGCTCCTGTACTTGCATAGGGTCAAATCAGCTCTTTCAGAAACCTGACTCTTCAAACCTCGTTACAACAGAACAGATTTAAGACAGGGCAGCTTAGTTTGACTGTTCCTTGTCAGTATTTTGTCATTACTACATTAACAGTTAGAGTTTGCACTACAAACTTTTGTAAACTAGTATCATTTGTGTTGCTCTTCTCCATTGCACAAATTCTGAGACTGTAATGGTTGAAACATTATGTTTCTTATTCTAACTTAAGACTATGCATTTGAAAATATGTTTACATTGATTTTATTTACTTTTAAAGAAAAGTGACTTTTCAGTATTTTTGATAAGCTTGAGATGGCATATATGAAAATTTAAGCTTCGGATTTCTTCCAAAATAACATATGAATTAAGGAATATCATCTTTACCTCTGAAGTAAGGTGTTTCTAATCAAGATAGGATTAGTTTTCAGAGTGAGTTGGGCTTATTTTTGGAAAGAGAAAAAGAAAAAGGAATTGAGATAGAGTAGAATAGAGTTTTTATGTCCAATCTTACCTTTTGCACATGACAAAGATAACAGAAATTAATAGTCTGGTATGTGTACACACTGTTAACTGCTGAATTTTTCTTATAGACATAGAGTAATAGTGCAGAGGTTTGGTATGTTTGTGGTTTTTTTCTGTAAAGCAAAACAGGAGTTATTCAAGAACTTGAAAACATATATATGGATGTAATTACGAATTTTAATCTCATATGTTTAAGTATTGTAAATTTGCTGTTAGCGGACTACAGAATCAAAATTCTCACAAACTAATATTCAACTTCTGTTTATAAAATATGTACTAAACAACATACTGTATTTAAAATAAATTATAAGGTATATTCCTGATGTAGTCTCCAAATTAGTTAGGAATCCTGTAACTGTTCTGTTTTCAGTTTTTGATAATACTCGGGCATGGTCCGTTCATCACTTGAAGTGATCCATTTGGATCAAATGCTGTTCTACTTTGTGGGTCATTCTTAACAGTCTAGTGGATGAAATGAAGGAAAAATCTTCTCAGGCTAGTAGTTGTTTAGTAAGAAGAGGACAAATAATGATTTAGTTTCATGACTTTACCTGTCGATTTAATGATAAAACTAAGGATGTGCTTTCAGAATAAATGTAAAAACTATTTAAATGTAAAATCTCTGATTTGACTTGTTTTTTTGTTTGTAGGAAACGTGACAGCACTCCATGTACTGCCGAATATAAGATCTGTAAAGCATGAATGACCTTTTTTGAGGGTGGGAGGGAATTTGCAGTTGAATATAGCTATCCGAAATGGAAAATGATTGCACTTGCATTGAGTTTCTGTAGATAAATATCTTGTACTATGTCGTATACTACTGATTAACTGTAGCAGGAGATCATTAATAGGGTAAAAAGAGTATCTATCTGTCTGTCTATCTCTGCTTTTCCTTATGGGCCACTCATACTGTCTTTTCTGTGTATGTGAAGAGGTTTTAAAGGCATATACCTGTAGCGTGCATGAGTGCCTGTGTCAGCGGGAGTACTGGACGTATCACTGTCTGCTGCCTGCTGCCGTCAGTGCTACCGCTTTTCTTACAGAAGACTATTCAATATTAGTTCTGCTCACTAAAATCTGAGTGTGCTTCTTGTTCATTTTTGCCACTGAGGCAGTATAAGTAATTACTTTGTCTCTTGTATTCTATAATGTTTTATTGTTGATTTCCTTAAGAGATTGGTGATTTTAAGGCTATGTCTTTTTGAAACTATCAGAGTTTATATCTTATATACGCTACCTCTTTATTTGCCAAAGTTGGTTTCTGTATATCTGATGAATTAAAATGTGCCTTTAAATCAGTTTTATAGCTTTTCTGCTGCCTTTAAGAAGGAAAAAAGCCATATGTTTTTCTGGCTCTTTGATACAGTCCCAGAAAGACTACAGTGGATTTGTTGGAATGGAAAACTGAAGGTTTCTATAGCAAAGGTATGGCCTGTCTTTGAATTTGTTGGCCTATTGACAGAGGGTAGCTAATTAAAGGAACTGCTGAGAAATCAGTGGTAGCAGTCTCCTATCAGGAGCACAGTATAAGTTCTCTAGGATGCTTGATTTTTGTTGAGCTTTGATGTCAGTTTCAGAGATAATTTTGTTCCTTTTCAGGATAGAAAGGGTGCTGTGTGGATCTAGCTTCCTTTTTACTTGAAATCATGTATTCCGCATATAGTTTTTCAAATCTCTGTATACAGACTGCAATGCTAAATCTAGCTCTGTAATGCTAGATTTAGCATCAGATATCTGTTGAGAAACAGAAGCCTTTTCTGTCAGACTCCCTTCTCTTTTCATGCTAAAGGAAGACCAAACCAGCTTGGTTGCGGGAGTGAAGGAATGGATATGGTGGCAGTGGCGGTAGATGTGGTCTCTATTTGGGTGGCTGCTTGCTTCATGAAGTGTTTTAGTCAAGACTCTGACTCCAGGAGCTCTCATCACAGTGTTTGCCATGAATTGAGACTCAGAAGTGCATTGATAGCTGTTACTTTGAACACATACTTGCTACTTCCAATTCCTTATTAAAACCAAAAGCTTCATTAGGACAGGTTTTGGCTTTGTGAATATCTGAGTTTGCTATCAGCATACAGGCAGCTTATAAGAACCCGTTTTCCCAGGAAAAACAAATTTCCTTCCTTCAGATGGTTGAAGCAGTGTTTAAATTATTCTTGCTTGTCTGTGGTAGATTGGCACTGCTCTCCACTGTCATGAGCAGATTGTTTGAATAACATAGAACTATTTAGGGCTTTATAGGACTTTTTGGGACAATCCCAGCAGTTGTATTATCAGAGTTCATAATAGTCTGTGGTTATTAAAAAGGGGTTTTGGCTACACAGAATGACTTGCTGTTCATTGCCTAGTTGATACCTAGTTTGATAATTGTTTGTAAATGCTATGATAATATACTGGGAATTGAGTTTGTTGGTCACTAGCTAGCTTGATTATGTATGGCATCTTCAATGTTTTAAAAATACGCTGAAATGCACTTAATGCTAAAGTGAAAGAACTGTAAAAAATGGCCTTATTTTTACACTTTTTTTTTTTCTGGATGTAAAGACTAGTGATGACTTGTAATACGACAAATAAAAATGTTAAATTATTTAGTAGTAAGTGTTTGTCTTTCATTCGTCATATGGTAAGCAGCTATTTTCCCATTACTCTTAAGATGATTTTTCATGTACCAGACTCGCATTAGGTGGTAACGGTTTAGTTCGAATTTTGCAGTTTGTGCACAGAATTACTTAATGGTAATATAGAGAATGTGTTTTAATTTGCTTAGCAGTCTTTTGGTTTTCTTTTAGAATTGCAGAGAATTTTCCAGAACCCCCAAAACCTTACAGTGTTCATTCCGTAAAAACTTGATGCAGAAGAGGCGCATTACCATGCAGCTGTTCTGATGTAACACTGAGTCAAGAGCAAAGCCCAGAGAGTGTTCTGGCACTTTGGTCCGGTGTGTGACAGCTATAATCCTTAGGGAATATAGCTTAGGCATTTTTAAGTAACATGTTAAATAGAATGTGATTATTTTTAATTGTATGAGGATCACACTCAAAATGTACTTCATTTTCTTTGCAAAGAAATGTGTGGAGTCAGCTGCCTTATAGAATGAAGCCTTTCAGAGGGTGGAGTAGAAAATAACTAATGTGCTGTATTTTTTTTTTTTTTAATTTGTGGTTGTGATGCTCAAAATCAGTTGGTGTGGACTGCAAGTGATGACAGTATGTAGACTACACAGCTCTACCATCTATGAAGTTTTGGGATTGCAGAGAGCACTGATGGGATAGGCAGCTACTAGGCAATTTGACTTAAACATTACAAATTAATTTGTCCTAATTGTCATGAATTCTGCACCATTTTTCTAAAACTCAGCCCCACATGTATTACTTCATTTTAGAATCTGGAACTGATAAGTCATGAACACATGAACTTTGTGCTAAGAAAAAGGATGCACGTAATAAAAATGTGTTGTTGCCATCTACTGGTAAAAAAAGTGATGTTCTCGCAGCAGGAGTAACAGAACATAGGTACAGCACTACCTCGGGTAATGTCATGTGAAGTAGTGTAAGGTGTCAGCAGCTGGTAGGCTTCTCAGTGTTACACTTAAAATCAGTGTAAATGCTCGCTTCTGAGCATGGTTCATACGGGGTGGTGAAAATGGAGCTGGGGACTGAAATGAAGAGACTTGCAGCAATTAGATATTGTCCAGCAGGGAAACAGGTAATCTGTCTACCTGAGACAGAGCCCAATACCAAGTAGCACACAATTTTATTTAAAAGGAAAAAAAAAATCTGAGTAAGTAACAGGTTAAGGCAAACAAGTAGCACATGGAATATAACTGGTCAGAAGGTTAGGTGGCTGTGCTCTCACACATAGGCCCTGGCTTGCTTGAGTTGAAGAATCTTAGTTACATGTTTGAACAGATGCTTCGCTTTCTCTGTAAGCATCCCTCCTAGTTGAACGTGATGCTGACTGTCCTCCTTTTGTGCAGGATGTTCGGCCTGTAGGTGTAACTTCAGGTCAGAGAACAGAAAAAGCATACCATACATGTTTGTGAAGCAAGATCGTGCTTTTGATGGTGTTTGTTTATAAGGACTTTGGGGGGCGGGGGAATGAAGTTTTCCATTACTGTTGCTTTTCCCCCTACATCATAACCGATTTCAAATGGTGCTAGACAAAAACTGAGACTCTGAACACCAAGAGAAATCGGTCAGCCTGTGTAAGAGACATTTTCCTGGCTCAGAGAAGAATCCTCTTGTAGGTGACAGCTACACATTCTTTAAAGACGACTATTCAGTGGTCTGATCAAATGCTTCATCCACACAGCGATCGTCTTTTCTGTGTATAATAACATGTTTGACAATAGTGAGCTCAAGCAAAAATAGTTTAGCTTCATTTTAGTGGTTTGAATGCAAGGGTGTAGAACTCTACTGAAACATTACTAGAAGTTACCAGCAATAAACTTAAAAAATAGTTTTAGAAAAAGGAGTGGATTCTGTGTGTACCAGTGTGACATCATCATGATTGCTGAAGGCACTTTTGTGTTTAACTGCTGAGATCAAATTGTTGGAGGGAATTTCTGTGTCTGCAGAGCAAGTCTCTGGGAGATAAGGCATCATAATTCTATGGCGATAGAGTCCCCAAGCACAGAGTGGAAATACATTTGCTCTAAGTTAGTAGATTAAATGTTAAGGCCCTAGTGATTGTATAATAAAGGAAACGTACTGTGCCTGTCAAGATGCAAGAAATACTATGTTGGTTTTCATGCAACTTTCGGATGACTTTACTCTGGACAACTTGAACTCGTATCCATTGTTTATTAAGTAGAAATACATTTGAAGGAAGCTGTTCCTGTTGTGGCCCTAGCTTGAGAGGGTGTATACAGTGGTTGTATAAGTGTCTAGAAATCAGATGATGTTACAAAGTGGATGGCTGGCAAAAAAAAAAAGCATGGGAAAAAGTGCTGGTTTAAGGAGTAGAGGCCGTCGGTGAAGTTAGCAGCTGCTTGATCTCCTCCCACGCTGTAATTCTTGCTCCTAGAACACTGATTTCAAATGGTGCTAGATACGAAGTGGGAAAATCTAAGCCACCATGTGAAACCAGCTTCCAGAGGAAGACACATCTCGAGCATGGCTGCAGACTGAGAGAGAAAATTCTTCCTCGCCACCGTACCTAGAGAAAAATTCATTTATTTAATTTTATTAGAAAGTAAAACAGTTAACTTCGGGTTAGTTACTTTATTGACACACACGTTTTTGGCATCTTTTGAATAGCTGAGGCTGGTGTAGGAGAAATGAAATACGTGATGCAGAAAGCCACCACTCTGGCAATGACTGTCATTTCCTTTCATAGCCAGGTGGACTATACTGAAGCTCTTACCAGCAAGTAGCGAAAAAGGTCTGACTTCTTTGTAGTGCAGGGTGTGATACCGATGGGGTGGGGTGGAGGGGAAGTTTGTGTCGTACAGGAACATTTTTTTCATGCCATTGGAGATGGAAACAGGCTATAAACCTCATTCTGTCCAAGGCAGCGAGTGTTCTGGCTTTCCATCACTTACTGATCTCAGCATCATCAGAGAGGACGGGACAGACCAGATGCTTTTTGTGACAGGGAAAGGAAATGTGACTATCATGAGGGAACATCCTTTGTCAGCTGTATCACATGGCCTGTAAATAGCATGCTTTTCATAAGCAAGGAGTTGCAGATTTTTTGAGACAAGT